ATATAGACAATATAACTTTTTAATAATAATCTAGTTTTTTAAACACATGAAGCAAATTCTACAATTCATGAAAGGGAATGATGGGAAAAAATTACGAATTTTTGCAGAATTAAAAAGAAGAACAAATTAATACTCGAAAGAATTAAGGTCAATAGTGATATGAGTCAACGAAACATTAGTTGAAAGAGTTAAGACGAATAGAGTGTAGGCGGTGCTGTGAAAAGAATAAGACTAAAAAGAACCTGTTTTCTTCTCGAAGAAGCATTCAGCTTCCGAAGGTACCTGCAGAGTTTAATCCCCGCAGAGTAGGACCTGTCTGGTTACAAGGTGCTAGGAAAATCAGGAAAGCGAGGTTCTTGTTGTTCTTGCTGTTCTTGTTACTGTTTACTATTTATTATTATTATTATTATTATTATTATTATTGTTATTATTATTATTATTATTATTATTATAAATTATAGTATACTGATATATACACGTGCATTGATTCTATTTTTTTAATTATTTTTAAATATTTTATATTAAAGCAATATAAACAAGAATATTAGCTTTTATTTTTATGTCTTTCATATTATCGTGTTTAATCTTTTTCACGAGTCCGTTATTTCTCTAAAACAATTTTTCTATTTGTTTATTATAATTGATTACGGCATGTGTCCTTGCGTTTAATGTATTTCCATTAAACCAATTTGTTGGCTGTTCCACATGGTTCAACATTAATAAGCATCATTGTAATTGACAAAAGTTCTGGATACTGAAATGATCACATTCAATCGGCTTTCTCGCAAGAACAGAGCATAAATAAAGTACGCACGCATTAAACATCTTACTTTGCGATTTCCAGAAAACCGGTTATGTAACTAATCTCGCATCCGGAAGTTAGTATAGAACAACGAGACCAGTTCCTAGTGTGAATTGAGCACCGAGTATCGTGTGTCATCCGACCGAGGGAACTTGTATGCCCGAAAAAAAGAAAACACGTGCTAAAAGAGCATTCCAAAGAAATACTTCCCATCGTATTGTTAGAATCAATCGTATCGTAGAAGATTGCGGTGTTGAGGTAGAAACACCGAGATTTCAAATCAACTTCGACTAGTTAGTTGATTAGCTGATCTATATTGTATATAAACATCATTTATATGTAAAGAAAGAAATTAAATTCACTTATATTTGCAAGAAATAATCAATTTTCTTTAAACAAAAAGATCTTTAAATATCGATGTTGCAGTTAATTAAAGATTTTTTTTTTATTCAGTGGAATGTAAAATAGAATTTAATGAAACTGAGAATTGGATATTTAATTAATTCAAATTAGTTTAATTTTGTTATAAAAGGTAGGAAAAATTCATACATATACTAAAACATAAATCTTTCCTCTGTCAGATAAAAATTTTCAGATAAAAATAATAAATTTAATCTATTAGATAGAATCAACTATCATTTTATACAATTGATGCTTAATTAATATAATTTTCTAAATTAATAAACAAAATAGATAATGTAAATTATTATTGTTATTAAAGTCTACTTTATATGCATTAAATATGCATTTCTGTTATATTATATTGCATTCACGTACAACAATAAGTTTCTAGATTCATTAATTACACGTTAGCTTGTAGAGATTGTTGAAACTAGTTCATAGCTATATAAATAATTCCATTTCACTGTTTACGGCTTTATGAATAATTCCATTTTACTTTATGACTTTATAAATTATTTTATTTCTCTACTAATGCAGATGATTTAAAATAATATTAACGACATTTTTATATATATTTTACAATATCTACATTTATATAAAAATAAACAAAAAGTTTTAATTTATAATATATGTACAGGATGAGCAAAAAGTATGACAAAAAATCGGACGTGCTAAATATCTCGAAAATCAAATATTTGAGTAAAATTTATCAACCTATATATCTCGAAAAGTACTTAGTTAAAAAAAATAAGTGTTTTGAAAAGTAAAATCGATAAAAAATAAATAACCTATTAAAAAATTTTAAAGTTGACTTTGAGAGTTTCTTTAGCGCTCAAATAGAGATTGCCATTTGATACATTTGATGAAAAAAATTCTACTTTCATATAAAACATTTTTTTCTCAAATGTCTTGTTTTCTAAGATATATTTAGTCTGTTTGTATATAATAATTAATTCGTATATATTTGACTTGCACTTTTCAAAAACTTTTCTATTTTTCCACATGAAGTTGAAATATCTTCGAAAATATAGAAATAATACCTTGGCAAGCTTATATTTAACGATCGGAACATACTGGTCAGACGCATGGTACGTGACTACACAATCGAGTGTAACAGTGCTCAGCCTCCCTTAGGTGATGGAGAGAAATCTTAGAGTTCAGCCTCCGAGAGCACAGCCTCCTCCATTTCAACTTATCCGCTATTGTATCTTAGATTAACGGTACCCAAAGAGCCGTGCACGACTCGAGAGAACGTGCACAAGCGGATAAAAACGATAATAAGAAATGAAGTTGGAAACGAGAACATTTTTTGAAATAAAATAAAAAAAATATATTACAAGTAAAGAATATCCTATAATTTTTACACACTTGATTTTTTAATTATTAGAAAATTCTTTCCTTGATTATTGAAATTCATAAAAAAATGCTTCTAAAACATATTAAATAACATCGTCAAATGAGGGTTCCATTAAATTCTAATATTTCTATACATAATATAAATTATTAAAAGAAAATATCAGTCATGTTTCCATAATTGCGAAAATTTCTAGATATGTAAAATGAAAAGCATTTTATTGTAATGTGCTTATTTTTATAATTTTATATTATATTCTTATTCTGAAGAAAAAGGAGAAACAGAGAGAGAGAGAGAGAGAGAGAGAGAGAGAGAGAGAGAGAGAGAGAGAGAGAGAGAGAGAGAGAGAGAGAGAGAAAGAGAGAGAGAGAGAGAATTGTTTTAAAGTACTGTCGCATTCAATTCACTATATTGGTATTATCGTATCTTAACGAAACTTCCTGTTTGGTTCTTGAAGATGCTTCTTCATCGAATGAAGCGGTGCACCTACAGCAGCGTTTGCGGAGCCTCAGCACGGAACTGGTGACCCTGAGGAACCGGCTGCACGTAAGCCAACCGGCGAACACATCAGGGCCGACAGGCGGTACCTCTGGACCCCTCTCGAAGAGTCCGGAAAAAGGTGGACCCACTTCACCTGCACCCGCAGTACCCCCAAGAACCACCCTACCGCCCAGTGGCACAGTATCTCATGGAATCGGTCATCCTGCGAGTCACACATTAACAGCTTCCGTAATTGTTCATCCGCATGTCAATCATGCTAACGCAAACACGCTCAACCATAATTCAACCGCAACAAATAATTTAATATCTGGTTAGTACATGGACACCTGTTTCATTAACCTATAATCCTGATTAAGATTTTCTGGATAATCTTTAATAAATCTTTATTATATGAAAATGTTAATTACTTTATAGAAATCTCAATTCCATTATAATTTTAAGAATAAAAAAATATCAACTAATTATATACAATTGTGACATTAAAAATACGCTATTACTATTTTGCTATATTAAAAAAAATGGTAGATACCATCCTTTCAAATACTAAACAAATAAATATTTCTGCATACACTCTATTGTAATTAATAATAATTAATATTATTAGTAGTATTATTATAATAATTGAGAGAAAATTAATGTCTTTTTTAATTTTTTGATGTAAATTTTCTTTCAGATCTAGATCCTTCGAAACGTCACAATGGAGTACCTGATGATGGGATAGTATCCTGTGTAACAGCATTAGGATGTCTTCGATCGCCACCGATCTCTAGCATCATTGCCGATGTGAAAAACGCAAAAAGCAATCAAAATCAGCATCGATGTCTTCCAAAAGCTACCGCGTCTTCGCCCGGCCCTGCGACTTCCACGACCTTCGATGACCTCATTCATCTATCTGGACCTCTCACAGAAGATGCAGTACTTAAATGTCTTCAAGCTCGCTTCTGCGCCAAACAGTATCATGTAAGATCAATGTTTTTGTTAAAGGTAGATAAGTAAAAATAGATAGCTTAACATTTGTAAAGCTTCCAAAAACTTGAGCACCTAAATCCTTCATGGAAAAAAAAGAAGTAAGATAAATGAAAGTATATGAATTTTCTCGTAATAAAATATGATTGTTGTTGTTGTAAGTGAATTGTAGTTAAATGTATAATTAAAAAGATTGATTAGGAATAAATTAAGTATACTTTGCTACAAGTCAGTTGTATTTTTAAATAAGCTATTTTTAAGTAAGATAAGTTTGCTTTGGAAAATATAAGATTGATTAAACTTATAGAAAAATATGACAAGATATGCACAAGATTTCTTTTTTAAGATTTCTATACACATTAAATATTTAATTAGAATCAGGTTTATAAAATTTTATATAAAATTTTTATATACAAATGTTATATACAAATATTTTGATAATATAAAAAGTTACGTTCTCAATGCATTAAGCAGATATTTAATTTTAAATGTAACGAACATGTAAGAACGATAAATGACCATGGATCAAAAGAGTTTTTCCTGCAATTTTAGACTCTAAATGTTCAAGGGGGGATTCCAAAATCCAATCGTTCATAAATCGTATATATACACACATACACATGTGCGTACACGTACGAATGACTGTGCCAGAGCGGAATGCAAAGAGGCGGTCTCGAATCATATTCGTAAGTACCTGAAGTGTTGTGTTGGTATTGGTGCTCGCAATAACACAACACAAGCGTGGTTGATATGTACTGCCATTAAGAATTCACCCTGTCTCTCGACTGGTTCGTGCATGCCACCCTGCCACAAGAAACCCACGCACAGGTGGCACGCACGCTCGCATTCCGATGTGATCGGCCAGACCAACTTTAATTTCATATTTTCCTTATACTATATGATTGAATTATATGATTAATTATGTAATCAAGTTTTTCATCAACCACGATCTTCTTCAATCATAATTGTTGCTTGAATTATTTTAGAAATGTTTTTAATTTTAAAACTTAACGTTTATGTTAATATTTAAAAAAGATGTATGTATGAATACATATGATTTAGTAAAATTCATTAATTAATGAACATAAATTTTATCTTCAATTTATTAATTTATTATAATTGAAATTTAGTTAAAACATTAATTACTGGATTTCTTTAGTTATAAATGAAATTTGACGTTTACCACAATCTCATCTCGTATGTCGTTCATCATGATGGACAATTCTTCGTACAGCAGGCTATCGTCTTTTTATACGAAAGATTCGCTTTTTTTGAGGCTGTTCCTCGTTTAGGCGTTTTATTGAGAAACTCTTGATTTCTCCCTGATCTAAGTTCTCTAGACAAGTGATCTTTTTTCTCGTCGATTGCGGTTGGTTGGATACCTTACTCAATTGCAAAAAGCAAGTTGATTATATACTTACATAATTCACTATGCAATTTGTCAGACTTGAACTTTGACATTCAAAAGAAAGCTTA